CAGAAATTTTCAAAGGAGGTGGATTATCACTCATCCAAGCTTGTCTTTGAGGTATTAAATCTGATCATGGTCCTTGATCTTTTAAATCTTGTGCAAATTAGCTTAGCAACTCAAGTTTGTGTTGAATAACGGTTGTTAGCATGTTTTGGGGGTTGTTTTCTTTGTGGACACATGAGTTAGGATTTGGGGAATTGCTGCCAAATTGGAGGTATGATTAATATATGTTGTATATAAGATTATATAAGGGGCTTTGGTAGTGATTGGAATAAGAAATTTGAGAAAGTTTCATTGAAGATCAACAAATTCCAGATTTCTGGAAAATTTCCCCCCCTTTCTGCCCGTTTTTGTTGCTCCATGTTAGAGGCCGAATTGGCCTTAGGTCAAAACATAAAAGTTGTATAGAATAGTATTTTATAGGTGCCTACAAAATTTCAGCTCAGTCGGAGCAACGTAGGTCGTGAAAAGTCCAAAATACCCTTACTGTTTTAAGTTTTTCCCCAGCAGTCCGTTTGGTCAGTTTATCCAATTTATCACGTTTTTCCACTAGGATCCGTACTGATTTAGCTTTTTACCAAAACATGAAAGTTGTAGTATTCTGAATTAGCTTTCAAACGCCTCTAAGAACACCTGAATCGGACTTTTGTAACCTGAGATATGACCATTACAGTACAATGCAGTTAGACAGCCAACGAGTTAGATTTTAGTTCTGTAAATTGAGGATTTGACTAAGTTGCATTGGAAACTGGACTATGTAACCTTCATGAACATTGTAGCCCTATGTCTTAGCTTCGAAACAGCATAAGTTGTGCCTCAATCCGATAAGCGTAGCCTCGGATATGTTATTTCCGCATCCACACGTCAAATCTGTCTTGTGCTAGATTGTATTTCTGCACTTGTTATTATTGTGATTCTTATTCTTACGATATGATGAGCCTATGGAACGGCTTTTGACTTGAATTATGATATGGGTGACTTTGGGTTGTGATTGAGGAAAAATAATGAAGCCTAAATGGCTGGAAAATTAGGTAAACACCAAGGACATTGTGAAAACCCAGAAAAAAAAAAGAAAAAAAAAATTTATTTATTTATTATTTTATTCCTGTGCACCGTTTTCTTGTATTTTCTTTATTCTATTACTTTTATCAACATTTTATCAGTAAATATAGTTTTTAAATCATTTTTCTAGTATAAGGTAGTTCGTGAGAAATTTGGAATGTATATTGGACGTGGGACCCACTAGTGCATTTAGTGAGAGAAATTCGGCCAATTCGGTTAAATTTTGCATAAAGGGATTTTATTACTAGGTGTTAGGAGATAATTGGAGGTTGCCTAGATGGTTTAGCCATGAGGGACAAGAAGATAGCTCTAGCAAAATAATGCGCCAAGTGTCAAATTGTTGTTGGACTAAACTTGCCTAACTTTGCCTAACTTTCTTTAACTTTAATAAAAGACCAAAAAATTGACTAAATCATCTTCATTTCAGCCTTGTCTTGGCCGAACCTCTCTAGCAAGCTAAGGAAAAAATTCTTCAACCTTCCATCTTCTAATCTTGCTTCAATCTTGAAAATCAACCGATTACTTCTTGAATTAGTCCATAAAATCATCTTGCTAGGAGTGTTTGAAGACCTTGGTGGTATTGTTTTGGAAGAAAACTCTCTAAGCTTCAACCTTTCTTGAAGAACTAAGGTATCTTGCTTGGAACTCATCTTTTGTTATAAAATTTGGCCAATTGGTGCCTTATAGTAGCTATTTACGCGATTTTACGGAAGATTTGGTGGATTGGAGTGAAGTTTCCTAATTTTCTGATTTTTCTGGATTTTTTTCTGAAATTTTCTGTTTTCCTATGATGGATATGACTGAGCTTGAATTGATGGTTCTAAATGGTATTAAATAGCTCTCTTGTGCGTTAATTGTGGTTAATTGCGGAAAATTTCCGCTTGTGCGGAAAATTCCAGATTTAGGGTTTCAAATTAGGGGTTTTCTATGGATGATTGTTGAGCTTCTAATTGGCTATAATTGAGGGGTATTGTGACCCTAATGAAGTATATTGAATGGCTTATGAATTGTTTGGGTGCTTGTGGTTGTGTTGGATGGCTTTTAATGGTTGTTTTGTAGGTTGGAAAAGCTGAAATTTTAGGGGAAATGCTGTCCAAGTGTCTAGGGTATTGGGTTCTTATGAGTTGGGTTGTGATTGGATAGAAATGAGCAGTTTTAGGGATTGTTTCCACTTTTAACCCTAAATGTTGTGTATTTTTCATTTCCAAGCTATATTTGGGTCTTGCCATAAGGGTCCCTATTAAAAAGGTATTCAACTCTTGTTTGAGTCTTAATTGCACTTTCTTGATTATTATAGGGCGTGCCGGTGATCCAAGGCTCACGTCGGGCGAAAACTTGTGAAATTTCTTTGTCGAACTTGGTGAGTGTACTACTCACATATTTGTTATTCCGTGGCTTTCTTGTACTTGAATTCTGTGATTTGGACTAGTTGTGATGATTGTTTGGACTAGGTGAGGCGGGGGTGTACTTTAGCACTCTCGTACTCTCTGGCCTCCTTGACTGGTTATTATATTAGACCTACTTGTTTGTTTATTATATCACTTGAATACTCTTGACTGGACTTGATTTGGTGTCGAGTGGATACCAACCTTTACTGTAACTCTGAACCTTTACTGTTTACTTTGAGCCCTACCTCATTGGAAGTCAATGGACTCGAGCCAGTGAGGACTTGGTCGGGGACATTTGACAAACCATGGGGACTGTATTTGAGAATCTTTGGGTATGAGACCCTTGATTCCGGTATACTCGAGTAATACCAATTCTGTACTGTTTGGTGTTCGGGCCCGGTAAGGGGAAAGTGAGGTGGACGGATAATTGGAGTAAAGAGGGGTCTACGGTCCTGATTACCTAGTATATATTGACGGAGGGTCAATGAGATGTGATCAAGTATGGCAAAAGAGGATAAGGGCTCTTGAGAGCCATCCGTATCCTTTTACTCCGTATGCTTGGGTGTTATTGCTTTTTTGCTTATTTGATGTACATATTTGGATTGAATATTCTTGTGTTTATGTGCTTTTGGTGTATTTACGTGATAGTACCTTATTGGGCGAAAGCTCACTCCGTTAATTTTGTTTTCCTTACAGGGAATTATATTTTGGACTTTTGACTGTGAAGAGTGAGTTGAGTAGAGCTAGTTGAGAGATTTTGTATAGCTCCTCAATAGTTGGAACCTTTGTTTGTACTTGGATCTAAATGCTTTCCTTTGGCTTGTAACCATACAAATGTGGTTTGTAACAGAGTGTATTCCTATCCAGTGGATTGTACTTGGCTTGTATATATTCTTTTCAGTGATTGTTGGAAATTTCTTGTAATCAATGGGCTCTCGGCGGATTGTGACGTGGCAGTCACTATCGCTTTACGTTTTGACTTCTATTTTCTGTTTCTCATTTATTGAGTTGATTAAGCGCGCTAATATTTTTCCCGAACGACTTGAGTTAGTGTTTGACCGTTTTAATAGTCCTGGCGAGAGTTGGGCAGGCAGTCCACTAACTCCTTTGGTACGCCTTAGGGGAAGGTGGGGCTGTCACAGGTGGTATCATAGCCTAGGCTAGAAATAACCTGGGAGAACCTGAAACCTGTTTCTTAGAACTCTTGGGGATTGTGTTTAGACACCATTAAGTGTGAATATATTGTTTAAGCTATAAACCTGTGCTATCTTTGTAGGTTATGGCCGGTACCAGTGGAGAAGGCGGAGGCGAGCCACCACAGAGGCGGCCCCGAGTCATCGACTATCAGGAGAGACCCGGAGGTCCGATCCGGCTGTGGTATACCGCTAACCGGACCCGCCGCTGTAGGCGTTGCCAGTTTTACTCCTACGCGGACCACGTGGTTGAGGCGGTACTTGCCGAGCGACGGAGGCTTAGATGTGACGCCGCCAGGGAGCGCACTGAGACCCTTAGGCTTAGGGGCATCATGCGGATGCAGGCCGATAGGATTGGAGAGCTCCAGGGGGACGTGGCCATGGAGCAGGAGAGGACGGACGCTCTGCGAGAGCAGTTGCAGGTGGTTAACGACCGCCTTACTCGCGTAGCCCGGGAGGTGAGAGACCGGTCCGGCGCTATTATCGATGAGTGTGGGGCACTCATCCAGGGAGTGATTGGCGCCAATGCGCCAGGGGGAGCTCCAGGTCAGGGAGGCGCCCCTAGCTCTAGCTCTGGGGGGGAGTCGGTTGGCTCTGTCGAGGACTAGATTAGGGTTTTGAGCCTTGTTTTGATCCCGTGTGAGGGACACCTAGGAAAAGCTTTTGGTTAGTTGTTTTGTACCTTTTGAGACCTAGGTTGTACAGTGTATTTTGGCAGACCCTCTTTTGGCTTCACGGGAGTACTTGTGTATATATTTGCTTGACTGCTTATGTATGACTGTTTGACACAATTATGTGTTCCATGTATAAATGTGCTATGTGTATACGTGCTTTATGTGATGTGTACTTTTGATTTTTGTTCATGCTTATGTGACTATATTGATATGCCCTTTTGATATTATTTTTGTGCCTCGACTTTAGAGTAACTTAGAGAATGGAAGGCACTCGTAGCGGACGAGGTCGCGGGCGCGGGGTTAGGCAACCCACAACTGACGAGGGTACTAGGGATACCACGACTGAACCAAATCCTGAACCTAGGGTTGACCCTAGTGCCCAGATAGCTGCTGCTATGCAGCAAATGACTGACCTGTTGGCCCACGTAGTGCAACAGCAAGGCCAACCTCCTATCCATCAACCTGGGAACCCTGGCCATGTAATAGAGAGTGAAGATCGGGCCCTAGAGAGATTTCAGAAGTTCTCTCCACCGAAATTTCTGGGCGGGCCAGATCCGGACGTGGCCGAAAAGTGGTTAGAGAAAATGATAGATATTTTTGCCGCCCTACACTATTCAGAGGAAAGGTAGGTTACTTTCGCTGTCTTTCAATTGGAAGGGGCCGCGCGTTCTTGGTGGAACGTGATACGAATGAAGTGGGACCGGGAACAAACACCAAGAACATGGGTAAACTTTATGAGGGACTTTAATGCGAAATACTTTCCCCCTTTGGTCCAGGAAAAGAAGGAAGACGAGTTTATTAGGTTCCGTCAGGGGACTCAATCAGTGGCTGAGTACGAAAGCCAGTTTACTCGTTTATCTAAGTTCGCCCCTGAACTCATTCTAACGGAGCAAAGGAGAGTTCGACGTTTTACTCAGGGGCTCAATGTGGAAATTCAAAAGGATCTGGCGGTAGCCCAGATCCATACTTTTAGTAACGCCGTGGAGAAAGCTTTGCGAGTTGAAAATGCAAGGCTTCAAGTAAGGAATTTTCAGGTGAAAAAACGGGGGTTCTCCGCGAGTAGTTCGACCCAAGGGGATAAAGGGACCCCTCCCAAGTTTGGAAGAGGAGCCGGTGGAGGAAGGCAACCAGGGATGACACGAGGGACTCCGCCAAGGGGTGGTCACAATGGACGGGGCCCACAGAAAAGCACCTCACAAGGAAGTTCGGCCTCAGTTGCACGCGGACCCTGTGGATTTTGTGGAAAACCAAACCACACTGAGGACAACTGTTGGAGGAAGGAGAGAAGATGCTTGCGCTGCGGGAGTGCAGAGCATCAAATAGCTAACTGCCCAGTGTTACCTCGGGAGGCGAGAGCAACCACCCAATCGTCAAAGGCTAACTCGGGACAGTCCAAGGTAGAAGGGACAAAGCCAAAGGTGCTAGCTCGGGTTTACTCCCTTGAGCAACAACAAGTCCCTGATCCCTCTGGGGTTGTAGAAGGTACGATCCCTGTTTTCCATCGTCTAGCTAGGATTTTGATAGACCCTGGCGCTACCCATTCCTTTGTTAACCCCAATTTTATGTGCAGCATTGATATAACCCCTGTTAGCTTGCCTTATGACTTAGAGGTTAGTACTCCTACGGGGAACCAATGTTTGATTACTGGTTCGATGTATGCGAATTGCGAAATTTGGGTAGGAGAGAGAAAGCTTTTGGGAAATCTTATAAGTTTAGCTATTAAGGGGTACGATGTTATATTGGGTATGGACTGGCTAGCAAGGTACGATGCACAACTTGATTGTAAGAGGAAAACAGTGGAACTTCGTATACCGGGGGAAGCAACCGTAAGGCTAGATGTAAGAGGTAGTTTAGCCTCATCTGCATTAATCTCAGGTATTAGGGCTAGGAAATTTCTGTATAGAGGGGCCCAAGGGTTTCTAGCTTTTCTGATAAACACTCCCACTGATAAGGTGAGGGTGGAAGATGTGCCTATTGTAAGTGAATATCCGGATGTGTTTCCTGATGAATTAGTAACTTTACCTCCGGAGAGAGAGATAGAGTTTAAGATTGACCTATTGCTAGGAGCGTCACCTATCTCTAAGACCCCCTATCGAATGGCACCTGCTGAACTCAAGGAGTTGAAGTTGCAGTTGCAAGACCTGTTGGGGCGTGGGTTTATTCGTGAGAGTGGATCTCCTTGGGGGGCTCCGGTACTATTTGTTAAGAAGAAGGATGGAACTTTAAGACTGTGTATCGACTATCGGGGACTAAACAACTTGACCATTAAGAACAAATACCCACTTCCCCATATTGATGAACTGTTTGACCAGCTGCAAGGCGCAGTGGTCTTTTCAAAGTTAGATCTCCGACAGGGTTACTATCAGTTGCTAATTAAGAAAGAAGATGTACCCAACACTGCTTTCAATTCTAGATATGGGCATTTTGAGTTTGCGGTCATGCCCTTTGGGTTGACCAATGCCCCTGCTGCCTTTATGGATTTGATGCATCGGGTTTTCAAACCCTACCTGGACCCGATTTGTTGTTGTGTTTATTGACGACATTTTGGTTTATTCGAAAACCCCTGAGGAACATGAGCAGCATTTGAAGTTAGTGTTACAAACCCTGAGAGATCATCAGCTATACGCCAAATTTAGTAAGTGTGAATTTTGGCTGGAGAAAATCTCTTTCTTGGGACATGTGATTTCAAGAGAAGGTATTACAGTAGACCCTGCGAAAGTAGAGGTGGTGGCTGAATGGAAGAGGCCAGAAAATGCCACTGAGATCCGTAGTTTCTTAGGGTTGGCTGGGTACTATAGACGCTTTATTAAAGACTTTTCCAAATTGGCCGGTCCTTTAACCGACCTGACGAAGAAAAACGGTCGTTTTGTGTGGGATACTAGGTGTGAAACCAGTTTTCAGGAGTTGAAGCGAAGGTTAACCAGAGCTCCTGTTTTGGCCTTGCCTAGTGGGAAGGACAGTTTCACTGTTTATACCGATGCTTCGAAGGAAGGTTTGGGGTGTGTGTTAATGCAAAATAAGAACGTGATTGCCTTTGCCTCTAGGAAACTAAAAACCCATGAATAAAACTACCCGACCCATGACTTAGAGTTAGCTGCTGTGGTCTTTGCTCTGAAAAAGTGGAGACACTATCTCTACGGGGTTACTTTTGAGGTTTATTCAGACCATAAGAGTCTTAAGTACCTTTTCTCCCAAAAAGAGTTGAATATGAGGCAACGCCGGTGGATGGAACTCTTAGAAGATTACGACTGCACGATCAACTACCATCCCGGTAAGGCTAACGTAGTAGCGGATGCCCTAAGCTGGAAGGCTCAAGTAGCAGGGTTGATGGTCAAGGAATGGGAGATGTTAGGAGCAGCTAGTGAGTGGAACCCTAGCTTGGAATGCGAGAAAATAACTTTTGGAAATATTCGGGTAACATCTGCTATTCTTGATCGAATTAAAGAAGCCCAGGAGAAGGACCCGATAGTACAAAAGTGGAAGGAAAAAGTAGAAAAGGAAGCATTACCTGATTTCAATTTGGGTCCTGAAGGGATTTTGAGATATAGAAACCGAGTAGTGGTGGCCAATGATGAAAACCTGAAAAGAGGAATTTTAGAGAAAGCCCATCGATTGAAATACACGATCCATCCTGGTAGTAATAAGATGTACCAAGACCTGCGACGGTTGTACTGGTGGGATAAGATGAAAAGAGAGATTGCCCAATATATCCAAACCTGTTTGATTTGCCAGCAAGTCAAGGCTGAACACCAAAAACCCTCCGGGCTGTTACAACCTCTTGAGATACCCGAATGGAAGTGGGAAAATATCACGATGGATTTTGTTTCTGGACTGCCAAGAACGCAAAAAGAACATGATGCCGTTTGGGTGATCGTTGATCGGTTGACCAAATCAGCCCATTTCTTACCTGTGAATGTGAAAGATTCCATGGATAAACTGGCTCGGTTGTACCTGAATGAAATTGTGAGATTGCATAGGGTTCCAGTGAGTATAGTTTCTGACCGAGATCCTCGTTTTGTATCGAGGTTTTGGCAAAAGTTTCAGGAGCACTTAGGAACCAAAATCAACCTTAGTACCACCTATCACCCCCAGACGGATGGACAGTCAGAGCGAACAATTCAAACCCTCGAGGATATGTTACGGACATGTATTCTGGATTTTGGGGGTAATTGGGGCCAACATATGACTTTGGTAGAGTTTGCCTACAATAATAGTTTCCATTCGTCCATTCAAATGGCACCATATGAAGCTCTCTACGGACGGAAGTGTCGTTCACCCATTTACTGGGATGAAGTAGGGGAAAAGAAAGTTCTAGATCCAACAACCATTCCCTGGATGGAGGATGCACAAGAAAAGGTTAAATTGATCCGTCAAAGACTCCAAACAGCTCAAAGCCGACAAAAGAGCTACGCCGATAACCGAAGGAAAGATTTGGAGTTCGAAGTTGGAGACCGTGTTTTCCTTAAGATCACGCCACTACGAAGCGTCACTACGGGTAGAGGAAAGAAACTTCAACCACGGTTTGTGGGGCCATACAAAATTCTCCAACGAGTTGGGAAAGTAGCGTACCGACTCGAGTTGCCGCCAAGTTTATCTCGTATTCATGACGTCTTCCATGTGTCGATGCTGAAAAAGTACTATCCTGACCCAACCCACATTGTGCGACCAGAGGAGATTGAGTTAGATAAGGCACTTACTTACGAAGAGAGACCTGTACAAGTACTCGATCGAAGAATTAAGGAATTGAGGAATAAGCAAATTCCATTAGTGAAGGTTATGTGGAAAAATCATGGTATAGAAGAGGCAACTTGGGAATTGGAGGAAGAGATGCAAAAGAAATACCCTGAGCTGTTTAGTAACCCAGGTGAGCAATTTCGAGGGCGAAATTCCATAAGGGGGAGAGGATGTGAGAACCCAGAAAAAAAAAAGAAAAAAAAAATTTATTTATTTATTATTTTATTCCTGTGCACCGTTTTCTTGTATTTTCTTTATTCTATTACTTTTATCAACATTTTATCAGTAAATATAGTTTTTAAATCATTTTTCTAGTATAAGGTAGTTCGTGAGAAATTTGGAATGTATATTGGACGTGGGACCCACTAGTGCATTTAGTGAGAGAAATTCGGCCAATTCGGTTAAATTTTGCATAAAGGGATTTTATTACTAGGTGTTAGGAGATAATTGGAGGTTGCCTAGATGGTTTAGCCATGAGGGACAAGAAGATAGCTCTAGCAAAATAATGCGCCAAGTGTCAAATTGTTGTTGGACTAAACCTGCCTAACTTTGCCTAACTTTCTTTAACTTTAATAAAAGACCAAAAAATTGACTAAATCATCTTCATTTCAGCCTTGTCTTGGCCGAACCTCTCTAGCAAGCTAAGGAAAAAATTCTTCAACCTTCCATCTTCTAATCTTGCTTCAATCTTGAAAATCAACCGATTACTTCTTGAATTAGTCCATAAAATCATCTTGCTAGGAGTGTTTGAAGACCTTGGTGGTGTTGTTTTGGAAGAAAACTCTCTAAGCTTCAACCTTTCTTGAAGAACTAAGGTATCTTGCTTGGAACTCATCTTTTGTTATAAAATTTGGCCAATTGGTGCCTTATAGTAGCTATTTACGCGATTTTACGGAAGATTTGGTGGATTGGAGTGAAGTTTCCTAATTTTCTGATTTTTCTGGATTTTTTTCTGGAATTTTCTGTTTTCCTATGATGGATATGATTGAGCTTGAATTGATGGTTCTAAATGGTATTAAATAGCTCTCTTGTGCGTTAATTGTGGTTAATTGCGGAAAATTTCCGCTTGTGCGGAAAATTCCAGATTTAGGGTTTCAAATTAGGGGTTTTCTATGGATGATTGTTGAGCTTCTAATTGGCTATAATTGAGGGGTATTGTGACCCTAATGAAGTATATTGAATGGCTTATGAATTGTTTGGGTGCTTGTGGTTGTGTTGGATGGCTTTTAATGGTTGTTTTGTAGGTTGGAAAAGCTGAAATTTTAGGGGAAATGCTGTCCAAGTGTCTAGGGTATTGGGTTCTTATGAGTTGGGTTGTGATTGGATAGAAATGAGCAGTTTTAGGGATTGTTTCCACTTTTAACCCTAAATGTTGTGTATTTTTCATTTCCAAGCTATATTTGGGTCTTGCCCTAAGGGTCCCTATTAAAAAGGTATTCAGCTCGTGTTTGAGTCTTAATTGCACTTTCTTGATTATTATAGGGCGTGCCGGTGATCCAAGGCTCACGTCGGGCGAAAACTTGTGAAATTTCATTGTCGAACTTGGTGAGTGTACTACTCACATATTTGTTATTCCGTGGCTTTCTTGTACTTGAATTCTGTGATTTGGACTAGTTGTGATGATTGTTTGGACTAGGTGAGGCGGGGGTGTACTTTACCACTCTCGTACTCTCTGGCCTCCTTGACTGGTTATTATATTAGACCTACTTGTTTGTTTATTATATCACTTGAATACTCTTGACTGGACTTGATTTGGTGTCGAGTGGATACCAACCTTTACTGTAACTCTAAACCTTTACTGTTTACTCTGAGCCCTACCTCATTGGAAGTCAATGGACTCGAGCCAGTGAGGACTTGGTCGGGGACATTTGACAAACCATGGGGACTGTATTTGAGAATCTTTGGGTATGAGACCCTTGATTCCGGTATACTCGAGTAATACCAATTCTGTACTGTTTGGTGTTCGGGCCCGGTAAGGGGAAAGTGAGGTGGACGGATAATTGGAGTAAAGAGGGGTCTACGATCCTGATTACCTAGTATACATTGACGGAGGGTCAATGAGATGTGATCAAGTATGGCAAAAGAGGATAAGGGCTCTTGAGAGCCATCCGTATCCTTTTACTCCGTATGCTTGGGTGTTATTGCTTTTTGCTTACTTGATGTACATATTTGGATTGAATATTCTTGTGTTTATGTGCTTTTGGTGTATTTACGTGATAGTACCTCATTGGGCGAAAGCTCA